GATAGGTTAAATGATGTGATATACAGGGTTTCCTTTCTAAAAAATTAATGTTTTTGTCATTCATATATATTGTGTTTCATGCATGTACATCAAGCTCATAAGAAACAATACTGTATGAAACCATTATTGTAAAAACAGAAGGATAACTAGTAAGCTATGTATGGATATCCAAAGAGGGAAGGGCAGGGAACAGGGGACCAGAGGGTGAAGAGGGGGAAATCACAGGGTCACAGAGTTCTGTGGAGTTTTATTTCTGAATATCCTGTTGCTGCTAGTATAAAGAGGCGAGTTTGGTCTGTTAGTTTTCTGTTCATTGATGTGGATATACAGAGACAATTACAGTTATGCAAAGCCCCCTTCTCCCTGTTAACATTACCTCTCTACATGAGAAATAGTAAAGAAACATCTGCTGTTATATTCAGGCCATGTTTCAGTCACTGGATATGTGTCTGAGAGCTGGACAGTGAATAAGGATGGCAGAGAAATTGAGACTTTTGAGTTGTGGTGTTGAAGAAGAGTACTGAATATCCCACAGACTGCAAAAACAACAAGCAGATATGTCTTGGAGAAAGTACAGCCAGAGTGCTCCTTGGAGGCAATCTCACATACTTTGGACATGTTATTAGGAGAGGCAGTTCCTTGGAGATGGGCATCATACTTGGAAAGGTGGAGGTTTTGACGAAAGAGAGGAAGACCCTCAACCAGGAGTGTGTCAGAGATGATGAGGATGGCACAGGATAGGACAGGTTTGAGATACTTTGTTTATAGAGTCGCCATGAATTGTGCTTGATTTGACAGCACCTAACAATGACAACAACAACTTTATGTCAGGTAGGAGTCCTGGTAGGGTAGTATGATGTTAGTTGGGCTGCTGCCCCAAAGGTAGGCATTTCATGTCTACCAGCAGCTCTGAGGGAGAAGGATGGACAGTTTCGTCTTGTAAAGTTTTACAGCTTTGGAAACTTGGTGGGTTTCTGTGCTTCAGACTTGACTCAATGGAAGTGGGCTTTGTTTTATTAGATCAGGGGGTGTTAAATGCTATGAAGAGCACCAAAAATAGATCAAAAGGCCAGAAGAGGTGGGGATACATGTGCTACTTTCACAGAGCAGTCAGAGTGACTCTGGGGCAGTGACTACAAAAGATATTAGAAAGAGTTGTGAGAGTGAGCAGGTGATTGTGAGCAGTGTGCTGTGAGTAGGGGAGTGGCTGGAGCAGAGGCCCAAGATGGTTGGATAATTGCAGACAGCAGTGAGCTTGTTGGGCGCAGTGCCAGGCCACGAGAGCCTGATCCTTGGAAAGAAGAGAATGAAATGCAGAAGAGAGGCCAGTGGAGAGTGGAAAGCTGCAGAGGATGGGCTCTGGTTTGTATGAACAAGTATTCCCTGACTTAAAAAGGGTTTTTAATTGCAGTAGAACTACACCACAGCTTCTATATATTTTTCTTAAAATTTGTTATTCTAGTATTTGTTATTCTGGTAGCCTAGTGTCAAGGAGCTGTGCTACAATCCCAAAGGCATGTGATTTTAGTCCACTAGCTGCTCCACAGGAGAAGAATGGGCAGTCTCCTCCTGCGGGATTAACTGCCTCTGAAAACCCACTGGAGGGTCAGATCACACAACAACAAGTACTGTGATGGCTCTGATGGACTCGTAGTAAGAAGCTGCATTACAATACCAAAGACATGCAGTTCTTAGCATGTAGATATAGTATTGCAAACTTTGTTTGCTGATTATAATTCTTAGATGCTCATTTGCAGATAAGAGACAATAATAATTAAAACCCCCCTTTAAAAAAAAAAAGAGATTTGACTTCTATCAGAACTTGATTTAGAATGAAGTCTCAGAGTAAGTCAGAGACTACCTGTGCTTGTAAATCCTTCTGGTTTTGGGGTAGAGAACATGCGGTCGGGTGAGAACAGGGGGCAGAAGGCCTTTTCAGAGGTCCGGGTGCCATGAACAGGATGGCAGCCGTGGCGGAGGGAGTCTGGGTGGACCCCTGACAGAGGCCTGAGAGGCTGTGCTAATGGGATCCTCATAGGGTAAGGAGAGTAGACAGTAGGGTGAATCCACCTGGACACACATGCCCTGTGCATCAGAGAGGAAGCCTGCTGAGCAGTTTTAGGTGTCAGACAGGGCAAGTTGAGGCTGGAAAGGTGAACTGGGAAAGTTAGCGGTTTTAGATACCGCTTTACAGCCTCTTGAAAACCTGCTGGAGGAGCAGCTGTGGGCTGGTTCAGACTCAACAGTAATGAGGTTTTTTGAGCTTTAGTTTATGGGTATTTTTTTAAAAAAAAAACAATAATGACAAAGCAAAACCAAAACCCACTTCCATTGAGTTGTTTCTGACCCAGCAAACCCTCCATGTGTTCTCTGAAAATCTACTTATCTTTCTTCAGTGGCTTGGCTAGTGAATACTAACCTTTTGGTTAGCAGACCCACATTGCACTAGCCACCAAGGCTCTTTAGATACTGATTTTCCTCATTGGTTTCCTCTGAGTAAGTTTTGCCTCATGGAGTTGACAGAAAGATATGCTATGGAAGATCCCACCAGAGCTCCTTAGGTACTAATTTAACTTTCTGCAAGTAGATGCTGTTTTGAGTGTCTACAAGTAGATGCTGTTTCAGTTATCTGGACAAGTGCATGGATGGCATATCTGATGGCATAGTCCATAGTGAGATGTGTGATATATTAAAAGCTGCATACCTCCAGTTTTGGGGTTCTGACAGGAAAGGGAAGGGAGCAGGTGCTGAGCATGGCCAGGAAAGCCATGGAGAGAACCAGGAGCTGACGGCGATGGTCCCAGGAAGGCCTGAGAACTGACACTGTGAAGACAGTGGTGTCCTTTGCAACCATCACAAGAAGTAGCTTCAGTGCAGGTGAAAACCTGTCTATGCAAAGAAGGGGCAGCCATTGTTTGTAAAGAGTTTTGCCACAAAAGGGAACAGAAATGCCAAAGAAGGATGTGGCACTGCAGAAGGAGCAATTTTGTATATGGTTTGTTTAAAATGGAAGAGGATGCAGTGCAGCTAGAGCAGCTGCATTTCTGAGTGGTTGTGTTCAGTGCTTATGTGGAGCGGATGGTCCACGCAGGCAGACTCTTCACTTACAAGAGCCAGGCAGGCTTGTGGGTGCAGGTAGGTACCTAGAACCCGGTGGGCTGATGCCTGTCCACAGCGTATAGGGTAAAGGCAGTGGCACAAGGCCCCAAGGGTGGCTTGGGGATGGCCATATCTGACCTCTACTAACTCCAAAGAAGAAACTACCCCCACCAGCAGCATCTGTGATACAAAACTAATCCTGGGGTCAGACGTGCTGCTTCTCCCACACTTCCCCATCTCTTTCCACTAATTCCAGGTGCAACCCTAAGTGCTCTACTGGGTCCAAAATCCATTACAGTAACTACACGGACCTCACAGAATCATACGGGATGGGTGTGTCAGAGGCAGTGCGATTGGCACAGGATAGAGCATGGTTTAGGGCTGTTGTACATAGGGTTGCTATGAGTCACAAACGACTCGACGGCACATAACAACAACAACAACAACAACAACAACAGGGAAGTCAACAGGTAACAGGTAACAGTTCAGGCTAGGAACAGGATACAATTTCTGAGTCAGGACAGCTTCTAAAGTGTGGTTCAGGCCCTTCAGCCTCCAGCCTTGTGGCTTTAGGTCAGTGTTACTAAGCTCTCTGCATTCTGTCAATTAGGGCAAGTGCTCCAGGCATTGTGGGCAAAGGCCCCTGGCTCTGGCTCTGTGGAGTAGCAGTCCCACGGTCAGCTATGTTACATATCAGGTGTCTCTGGTTCTCCGCTGTGGTTGCTGCTGCTCCTGCAGGACATGATCTGAGTGGCACAGGAACCTTTGGTCCCCAAGGATGCACACTCTTCTCTGCTGGTGGTGTGATTCCCCAAATTCCTGCCACCAAACTTACTCATTTTAAACCTTGTGAAATGACAATACTAGCCAATCCCCTTGTGGACAGACTAACACACTCTATTTTTGTGTTCCCACCTAGACAGGTGACAAAGTCAAGGGACAGTGGCCTAGGAAAGCCATTTTGTAAAGTAGACTCACTACACCATGCCTCTGGAAAAAAATTGCATTCCCATCTGTATCCAGGGAAAAGCAAAACCAAACCCACTGCCATCTGGTCGATGTTCACCCTTGTAGGCTGGAGCAGAGCTGCCAGATTTTTGAAGGCTTAAGGCTGTAGCAGAGGCCTGCCTCCTCTTTTCCTGCAGAGCAACTGGTGGCTTTAAACTACAAAATCCTTCACTTAGCAACTGAGAGCTTTACCCACAGCAGCACCAGGGAAGGGATGTTTCTGTGTAATAAGCACATCCTCCATGACATTGTGATTTTGTTTTACCCCTTTTCTTAGAAAACCAAATCTTGGACTTCACTCTCATTTCCTACTCAGCACAGGCGATGGCATTCAGAACTGGTCTAGATTGTTGTACTTAGCTTGTAAAGATTGCTGTCTTGTAACAATGTCACTTCCCATTGAGATTATCTGGGGTAGAAATGCAAGATTTCAACAGGATGTCATACCAGAATAAACTACTTCAGTGCTCTGAATGCCTAATGGTGCCCTTGATAATTGAACATTGGTAGCTGTAACAAGTAACAGCTCTTTAAAGCCTATTATTAGTTGGAAGGAGGCTTGTGGTCAAGCTTTGGGCTATGTAGTTAGCTGGAAAGCTTTGGTGGCTTGACCCTACCAGCCACTCCAGAGGAGGAATAAGCTGCCATTCTACTCCCTCAAGGATTACAGCCTTTCAAAACCCTGTGGGGTAGTTCAGCTCAGCCTTATAGGATCCTTGTGAATCTGAATCAGCTTGATGATGTGTATACAATATGAATCTGCCTGCTTCTGGAAATAGATACTCTGGAGGAACACTTTTAACATTTAATTTTCTGTATCCTGATGTGTAGTTATTCTTTACAGTGGGAAATTTTCAATTACCTTTTTCATAAGTGTTGATTGTTTTTCTCAGGTATACTTCATTAAAGAGCATAACATTGTTGCACCATATAAAATAGAAAGGGTAAGTAGAGCTTCACCCTCCCCCTTTTTTAACACCTCCCAGTTGATGCAGTGATTTTTGAACTAGAACGTTTTGTGACTCTATTGACATCTGTAATCAAATGTAATAGTAAGGGGTGTTTAAAAATTTGTTACATCACAGTTAGAACAAAATAGACCCGGGGACTTGGCTAAAACAATAATGTACCTGTAGAAAAATTTCAAGTGATTTGATTATAAAATTTAAATTCAAATATGCATCATGTGTAATGGTGTTTGCTGGCTATTTCTGGCAATTTAATTCTCATATGTTGCTGAAAATTTATGTTTTAAGTGTTCCAGAAGAATTTGTAATAGGTTATAAAATACCCTCATTTGAGAACTTGGTGATAGTTGATAAATCCTTCTGCCTGGCCAGAAGTTGTGAGTGGACTTGAACACAGGACCAGCCAGAGGGCAGCACACATTCCGGCCAGTGCCTGTGCTGCCCACTTTTCATCCCTCTGCTTCATTTAGAGTAAAAGGGTAGCTGAGCAAAAGAAGTTTAAAGGACTGAGTATGTGGAGCTCTGGTGGAGCAGTCTTTGTAAATGACTGTGGAGGAGTTTTGCTGCTAAGCCAAAGGCTACACAGCTCTGGTGGTTCAAATCTCCCAGCAGCTCTGAGGGAGAAAGATGGGCAGTCTCTTCCCATTTCAGAAGCCTGATGGAAGGTTGACTTGACAGCTGTGAGATTTTTGAAGAACAGGCCCAGTGCTCCTTATAATGACCCCTCTTTAAGTTCAGGAGCCACTCTGAGTGGCCACAGCCCCACAGCCCCAGGTGCAGCTCAGCCTCAGTTTTCTGATTAGCAGTTGGAAGACACTAATTATATATGCAGTGGTCTAGGTTGTTTGTCCTGGTTAGCAAGTGGGACACACTAATTGTAGATGCAGTGGTCTGGGTTGTTTGTCCTTTAAGCACTTGCCTGTCCTATTGAGTCTCCAGTCACAAATAAAGTGGTTACTTCCTGGTGGTGGCTGCTCTTGGTGTTGTGAGTAGGGCAATTCGTTGTTTGGAACTGCCACTCTCACAACATTACATCTTTCCTGTCCAAAATTGTCATGAGACTTGCTGTTCAAATCCACCAGATACTTCATGGGAGAAAGATGGGCGGTCTCTTCACTGATTGTACATAGCAACAGCAACAACAACATGCTTGTTCTGAAGAGCTGTGGTGGTGTAGTGCACTGTGTGTTGTATTGCTAACCAAAAGATCAGAGTCTCAAATCCACCAGCTGCTAAGTGGGAGAAAGCAGAGCAGTCTGTCCCCTTGTAAGGGTTTACACCTTCAGAAGCCTGTGGGGTTGTTGTGAGTTGGAATTCACCTGAGAGCAGGGGGTTTACGCCCCCTATCTTATGGCCTGTTCCCACCCACATCATGCCTGTACTGCTCTCTCCCATGTTATTAGGGCAACTTCATACATGGAGAAATAATACCCAGGCTGCTCCCCATGTTGAGAGCCACTGTGTGGGTATTCTTCCCATTGAGTCTCTTGTTGTTCTGAAGTGCAGAGCTGAAGAGGGGACATGGGAAATGATGTAGAAGGAATAAAGGCAACATTTTTTTTTAAACAACCCCTTTTTATTCTCATGTGAATCTGACAGAACACCCAAAGATTTTCAGATATTTTGGGTGATTTTTTCTTTTTTATAAATTTCTTTTTCATTGTTGAAGATTTATTTCTCTCCTCCCCAATGTGCACCCGAGCCACCCTGCAACGCACCCCTTGTTCCAGACTGTTGTCATAAATATATATATATAATGCCTAATTATATATTCCTTTCAAATAATTCTTCCCCTTATCTGTTCTAATGTAGTATTGGTTATCCATCCGCTCTTTCCTCATTCTTTCCCCAGCCCCTCATGTCTGGCCTATTTTCTAACAGCTGTGTTATATTTGTCCTTTTGTGACTGAGATATTTAACTAAGCATAATGTCCTCCAAGCTTCTCCATGTTGTATAATATTTTGCAAGTTACTTGTTTTTCAGTGCTGCATAATATTCCATTGTGTGAATGTAGCATAATTTTTTAGTTCATTTGTTTGTTGATGGGCCTTTGGATTGCTTCCTTCTCTTTGCTGTTGTGAATAACACAGCAATAAACATGGATGTGCATCAGGTTTTTTTGAATGCAGTTAATAATAAAGATTTGATAGTTTTGCAATTACAAAAGAAACATTTTTGTTATAGTAGGTCTCACATGGCAATCACAGGGTAATTAAGGACAATTGCATGAGTAGTATGGGAAAAATAACTTTGTTCAGAGGGAAGGGAGAATTTCATATGCAGAATATGACAGTGTGTTATTGTTGGGAAGCCTCATGGGGCAAGGTAGGATTGCCCACAGATTGTCCAGAGGCACAATCTTCACAAGAAGAGATTGCCAGGACTTTCTCACACAGAGTCTTTGGGTGAGTTTGAACTGCAAGCCGTTAGATTTGTAGCAGAGCACTAACCTGTTAGTATGCCAGTTTCCTTGAAAATACTACTCAGGGAAATTCCTCTGACATCACTTACTGTTGATTAATTTAGATATGACTTCTAATTACACATATGAAGGCCTTTGTTGGAAGAGTATCACACTTTCAAATTTGTAAACTTTTTACTCTGTATATAGGAATTAAAATGAATAAATAAGGGTAAAAATCTTCAGAACTGTACCCACCCAAGCTTAGATCCTTGCCAGTCGATTGCATCTGCTGCTTAATGCTTAGTTTGCATCCAGGCTCTGGTGGGCACGTCCCCTCTGTATTCGGTGCCTCAGGCTCTGGACCAGGCTGTGGGCATGAGGACAGCTCAGTGCTTTGCAGCTGTTACCCAGGTGAAATTGTTTGGCATGCTTTTCTCCCTTGGGTTTGACACTTTGTGTTTTAGGGCAAAATGGAATATGTCTTTGAACTGGACGTTTCTGGGAAAGTGGAAGACGTCACGGAGACCTTGCTTCAGGTATCCTCCTATTCACAGCTGCAGTCACCAGGTTGATTAGTCAAAGCAGATGTCTTTTAAGTGTCCTGTTATTGTCATCCTAGCCAAATTGTAATCCCTTATAAATATAAAATAGATTTTATTTGAATAAATTCAAGTGGAAACTATATTTTGAAAAGTCATAAATATGTTAGAAGCAAACTCAGTTGCTCCTAAGTAACAGAACAATTGCACTTTCTAAAGAACTACCTTCATACCTTCTGGGAAAAAAACTGCTTACATGTGCATTTTGAATGTTTTAGCTTCACAGAGCATCCTGCCTTGATAAACTAGGAGATCAAACTGCCATGGTAAGTCTATAGAAGATCCTCTATCTTTGTAAATGAACTTATGTTGATATTTTATTTATAAATACTTATATCTTAGCCTTTTAAATGGTTCTGTTTTAATAGATAACTGCTATTCTGCAGTCACGTTTGGCTAGGACATCATTTGACAAAAACAGGTAAGTTTATTTTCTGTATTGTTTTTGTCCAATTATGAAAACAGTTTTTTATGTCTGTGTGCCTCAGGGTATTTGAAACTTATGTCATCACCATTCACCTTACTTGAGCCCTGCTAGTTTTAGGGAGCATTCACCTTGCCCAAACACTGCTTATCTTAGGGAATGTCCACCTTATCTGACTCCTACTTCTCTTAGGGAATGCCCACCTTACCTGCCTGAACCCACTTGTCTTAGGGAGCATCTGCTTTACCCAAGCTCTGCTTATTTTAAGGAGTGCCCACCTTACCTGAGCCCTGCCTGTCTTAGGACACTGTCCACCTTTCCCAAGACCTCTTTGTCTAGGAAGCATCTACCTTGCCTAAGCCCCACTTGCTTTAGGGAGCCTCCACCTTGTCTGATCCCTGCTTGTTTTAGGGAATGTCCACCTTGTCCTAGGGAGCATCCACATTGCCTGAGCGCTGCTTCTCTTAGAGAATATAAACCTTGCCTGTCTGAGCCCTGCTTGTCTTAGGGAGCATCCACCTTGTCCACACCCTGCTTGTCTTAGGGAACATCCACCTTTCCCAAGGCCTCTTTATCTTAGGGAGCATCTACCTTGCCTAAGTCCTGCTTGTCTTAGGGACCACCCACCTTGCCTGAACCCTACTTCTCTTAGGGAAAGTCCATCTTTCCCAAGCCCTGCATGTATTTGAGAGTGTCCACCTTGCCTGAGCCCTACTTGTCTTCAGGAACAACACACTGTTCAGTAGTTGACTAGTGCAGTAAACATGCTAACAGCTTCCTCAGCTCTTCTCCCTGCTGAGATCCTTAGATCAGAAAGACCTGCTGGTGCTATTCTCTAAGATCTGTCCACTCTCTGCCTGTTCACAGGACTCTCACCTCTCCCAGAACACCATACTAGCCACTCAGTCTGTCGGCCTGATTCTAGTCCCTTTTCTTCCCCAACTATTTCGCCTGCACTGTACCCATTGTGATTTTTCCGAAGAACACATTAGTCATCTCAGTTGAATTTGAAACTCTTCAAGATTCGCCACTGCTTCAAGATAAAGTCAAACATCATCTCGGGGCACACGGCCTGTGTGCTCATCTCTGACTGCACGTGAATCCCCTCTAGCTGTTTGCTTTACATGGAGTATCCATTGCTGTATGAGGTCTCCCTTTCTGAGTCTGTGTACATGTGCCTCTGCTCAGAACACCCAGTTCCTTCTTCCTTGTTAGGTACAAAATATCTAGTTAGGTACCTGTCACTAAACCTGATCTCAGCTCTGATGTCAGTACTTTGAGTCTTTCCTTAGCTAGGATAGAATTTTCCTGTGGTGCTTGATAGACTAAACTTATTGTTTTAATAGTTGTTTCATTGATATTTTTGGGAATGAGGGGACCCTTCAAAGTATAAAATATATTTTCTACAAATAATGATACTTTTATAGCATCTTATTTCCTTTATTACTTCATGATTTATGTTAAGTAGATTTACCTTAATCTGAACATTCATGTTAAGACAGACTA